ATGTCCTTCGTACAGTTAAGACAAATTTCTACGTGGATGATTGTCTTAAGTCCACTGTGACAGAGGAAGATGCAGTGAAGCTCATACATGGATTAACATCTCTCTGTAAAAAGGGCGGCTTTCATCTCCAAAAGTGGGTCACAAATAACTCAAATGTGTATTCCTAGCGAAATCAGAGCAGTGGGTTTGGAGAACATGGATTTGGACAGGGACCAACTCCCTGTGGAAAGAGCTCTGGGGATGCAATGGTGTGTTCAAGGAAATACGTTCAGCTTCAGGACTGCAGTGCAGGAACGTCCACACACTAGGAGGGGCATCCTTTCTGTGGTGAGCTCTCTTTACGACCCGCTGGGTTTTCTGTCTCCTTTCATAATACCTGCCAAGTTACTGTTACACGAGTTGTACAGAATGAACTTCAAATGGGATGAGCCAGTTCCCCGTGATGTCTCCGAACATTGGTCTGAGTGGCTCTCTGAGCTTCAGCATATGAGTGGATTTAAAGTGGAACGGTGCATTAAACCCAAAAACTTTGGAACACAAGTGAAAGCAGAACTGCATCATTTTTCAGATGCTAGTCAAACAGGATATGGCACTGTTTCATATTTGAGATTGGAGAGCACTGACAACGTGCATGTTTCATTTATCACAGGCTCGTGTCGCTCCTAACTAAGCAACTAACCATTCCACGCCTTGAGCTTGCTGCAGCTGTGCTTGCTGTTCGAGTGAACACAATGCTGTTGAAAGAGCTACAGTTGCCATTGCAAAGGTCATTCTTTTGGACCGATAGCACTACTGTTCTCAAGTACATCTTTAATGAAACAAAGCGCTTTCACACATATGTTGCCAATCGTGTCAGCACCATAAGAGAATCCACAGACAAAGATCAGTGGAGGTATGTAAACACCAAAGACAATCCTGCAGATGAAGCTTCTCGAGGACTAAGAGCTCAGGAGTTTGGGAAAGGAAAATGGCTAAAAGGACCGGACTTTTTGCACTTGCCCCCCACCAGGTGGCCGAAACTCGACTTGGACTCCTCTTCCATTCCATCTGATGATGCAGAGGTGAAAAGGGAACTTAAGGTCAATGTTGTTACAATACACAGTGACAATCCTCTCAGTCAGCTCATTCACTATTTTTCATCCTGGAGAAAGCTTAAAACATCTGTTGGAGCTGAAAGAAAGACTTTTACTTTTAAGCCGAAAGAGAAAAGAATATGTGGTCAACCAGAATGAGAATGTGGAAAAGGAGATTAAAAAATTCAAAGCCGCACTTGGAAAATCCAGCTTGACACCAGAGCGCTTGGAGGAAGCCGAAAAGGAAATAATAGCCACTACAGTTGTGAACTTTATCACTTTAAATGTTGCAGCTGCTAGAAATTGTGAGATGGAATGATCTCCTTGAGTTTTGTGAAGCACTGGTTCTCAAACTTTTTCATGTCAAGGACCCCCAAAACTGACTCACATTAGACGACGGACCCCCATTTGAGATCCCACCGTGACACACTGTGGGAGACGACACTACATGCCTTTTACCAAGACTACAGTTATCATCAAAATAACTTGAAAGATGCAACAATCACATAGAATTTTACAAATAGCAAATTAACTTTAATGTGCTGAATATCTAGATACATTCATTTTCAATTTAAATCACCAAATAAGCACAGTTTCCTTTGGTTTACTGATGTCTGCAATGATGTGTTGTAGAAAAATATGAGGGGTGGAGCTTTTTGTAAGTGACCTAAAATAGAATGACACTAAAGCCTGAGATCATAACCTGACTGAGGATGTTCAGTCTGACCGTAATGCTTTTCTAATACAGTTTTGTTGAATGACTAATTATTATTGAACAAGGAGTGACTATAACAGTGTTAAAACAATGCAGGGGGCTGTGATGGTGGGGGTGTGCTGTTTAAAATGACGGTGAGACATCAACGATCCAGCCCAGTTTGACAGTCCATCAGGTTAAAGGATCACAGGATCTGACAAAAGATCTGGAAAATGTTCACAGCATCAATAGATTAATCTTTGATGGCACTGATTTTGAGATAAAAAGCAGAAATACAGCGATCCAGTTACAAAGGAACGTCTGCTTGCTAGTGTTTCATTTGCCACTCAGCTTCTTACCCGAAGACTTCCTTTTGCAGTCTGGCAAAAGCTGTGCCAGGTTAATCTTTTTGCCAGAGTACTCTGAAGGTGTTTTTTTTTTCTGCCAAAAAAACACTCAATAAAACAAGGCAAGGCAGATACTGCCACACGTTTTAATTTAGTCTAATTCAGCCAATTAAACCTGATTAAACATGATAACCTGTTTATAAATATAATAATATAATTTTATCAGCCATCAGCAGCAGTTTCATGTGGTTTTGTTCTATGGGTGGAGACTTAAGTGAGCCTGTGGTTTGCAACCTGTTGGTTTTAAATAGCTTTTCTGGTTAAGGGTGAGAATGTCTCATAGCCAGAGGGAGATAAAAATAATAATAGTAAGAGACGTGTCAACATAGACCTCATCCACAGCCATCACTACTGTTGTTCCCACATTTCCATGTGAAGCTTTACAGCTTATTATTACAGCTTCTGTTTAAAAAGAGCTGTATCTCCTACCATTTAAATGCTGAACACTATCTGACAATGAAAAACTAAAAGGCCATTGTTCACTATCTGCTCAGCAGCAAACAGGAGACAGACACAGTTAGAGACTAACTGGTGAACACAGTCGAGCATTTAGCAGCTAAAGAGTCAAATCTTCTCTCAGGAGAGGTTCTAGCCCCAAAACAAAGCTAACAGAGAGAATACTGGACAGATGAATGACCACTCTGCTTTGCGAACAAGTTCATCTTGAAGGTGATAATATGTTAATGATGTTCATAGGTTGCTTCCACTGCCCTCCAACAGGGTCACACACAGGTCCAAAATACAAACGCACAAACAGGACCTCTACATGTCAGAGTGAGGGGGCTGCCACGCAGTCAGGCTCCCTGAGCAGTTAGGGGTTCAGGCTTTGCTCAGGTGAACCTTCAGCAGTGACCAGGAGGTGAAGTGGCACCTCTCCAGCTGCCAGTCTGAACTCCTTTTGACTGATCCGTGCTGGACGTGAACCGGAACCACCATCCGGTTCCCAAGATAAGACCCCACAGACTGAGCTACTGCTGCCCAAAGGTTTAACATCCACAGGTTTTAGGAGAAAAAAATTCTAATAAAATGTCTTTAGTTTGTTCCCTCAGTCACCTGTGCAGATACACAATTTATGATCTATGAAGTACGTAATTTACTTGATTAAAACCAGATCATGAATAATGATGAGGATGTACGCATTCACAGTTTGTAGTTTGCATAAGTTATAACTGTTGCACTGTGTCAGGGGACAGTACAAGTTTTCTCTCTCTCTCATTACAGTCATTTCCTATTTACTGTGTAATGAAGTGATGTATAAGGTGGGAGGAGATGTGGCTAAAACTTAAAGAAGAAAGATGAAAGGGGCAGGATAGAAAATTGAGGAGTAGTTTTTAGGTATCATAAGATGTAAGTTCAGGAAATAGAGCTGTGCAGATACAGGAGACCAACCAACAAGGAGGATCTCAGCATCCAACAAGATGAAGATCTTTCTTCTTCTCTTCCTCTCACTGACGACAGGTAAAACGTTTGCTGCTATTGGACTACTGATCTTAGAGATTACACTTGTTACAGCTCTGCTCGTAGAGCACTGACTTCACAGTTAAGATGTCTCACTCAGTAAAACTTGGTAAAAATATTTTAAGTCTAAAAGGATATTTATAGTTTTATGCACAAATGTTAGAGCAGGATTGTGAGGAACAGTACAGTAATGGTCAAAGAAAAAGCTTTTCAGACATGATATTTCAGGGGGTTCAGGAGTTGATGACTGTAGACGCCACTTTCAGCAATAATGTTATCAACGTGTTTGTATAGCCCCTCCTGTGGGTGCCCATCAGTGGAGGCTGGTAAATAAACAAATGAATGACAGTTTATTTTTACATTTAAATGTCTTCAAAAAAGTAATAATTGCTGACATTAAAATTGCTAAATTAAAATCTCAGGGTGGCCATTAAACTAACAGAACATGAGGACTTTGGGAAGTACACCAGTAAATTTGACATTCGACCTTTACAACACAATGCACATCTAATGAATTAAATGAAATTTCAGAAACATATTCTCTCTTTGCTTTTTATGTATCGAGGCGTAACTGATTTAATTCAGCTTTCATACTGTACATGTAAAGTGTGGTGCCACTACTCTAAATTATTTTGCTTCCACATCCAGTAGAGAAATCAATTTGCCATGAAGATCAGATTCCAAAAAAAGCAGATGTAACACTCTCCCCACTCATCACCAATGTAAGCAACTCCTCATTGTCCATTGGACTCGACCCCGACACCCTGAACAACTGCAGGCCCATCTCCATCATTCTTTCTCTGTCCACAATCCATGAGCGAGTTGTCGATACTCACTCAAACTGCCCTACTTAAAATCACCCAATGACATACTTCCCTCTGACTCTGGGTTCCTCACCATCCCCTATCTCCATGCTATCTTTCAAACAGACCCTCAAAACCCACCTTTTCAAGACTGCATTCTCCAGTTCTGTCCTTCCCCTCTCTCCCTCCTTTTCTTTTTTAACCAGTTACTTTTATCTTTCGCCCTGTAAAGCGTATTTGAGTGTTTAGAATATTATCAATATCATTCACACCTTATGAGTGTGGTGACCACGTGTTAGCACAGCATTACTGTATTTTAATTCCGGTTTTACCTTTCTGAGACAGACGGCTGTCAGAATCAATTTAAACAAACTGCGTACAGAACAGCTAAAACCAAGTTATTCTGCAAACAGAACGGTTTAATCTGTGAGCTGAAGGTTAACTGTGAGCAGCACACATCTGACTCTTTTAGCTTTGATTTTCTCACACAGATAATTAAAGTGTCTCTGAAATATGTTGTTAAATACAGTCACTGATACACAACGATGTCTTTCTGTCTGTCTCTCTACAGCTACTATTACTAACTTCACCACGTTTCCAACTGTTGGACAGAATCTTACATACTGGTGTGAATATCCAAAAGATTCTTTTATAAACAAATTCATCTGTAAGGGAGAAGATCCATCTATATGTAAACCTCTATTAAGCACACAGCGCAACAAGACCATTGGGAGGTTTTCTATGAAGGAGGAACAAGATAAGAGAAATATCACCATAACAGTGAGAGACGTAACAACAGACGACACTGGGACATACTGGTGTGGAGCAGAAACCACTGACAAAACACACAGCAACAAATTCTTCGAAAAGCTGGTGATGACTGTAGGTGAGTGATGTTATTTTATATTGTGTGGATGTAATCTGATCCTGGTTCAGATTGTAGGAGGGTAATAGTTGGATGACAAGCATGAAAAGAAAGCTATAGTAATTATTGATTACTGCTGGACTCCTGAAGTGACCATCAGTTGCATCAGCTCTGAGTATGTTAACCTCATATTACATGCATGATGAATAACTAAAGCCATCATCAATTGATCTGCAATCCAATGATTCACCATGGCGACGGGTAAAGCTAAAGAAGTAGTGAGAGAATCAGTTATTTTCTCTGTGGTAAAGTGCAAAACACTTGGCAACAATTGACCTTTTCACAAAAGACATTTTTACATCACAGAAGGAGAAACACAGGTGTAAACAATAAAATACATGAGGGCTGAATTCCATTTAGCTGCTGCTGTTTCAGGGTCCTGATATTGTTCATGCTGACTCACTGTCATGACTTACTGTTAGACTTGAATATAACAGAGCCATTGTTAATGTTATTATGAACACTTGTGCTTTTCCTGCCATCAAACAGATAAGACATATTTCAGTCACTGTAAACTGAAACAATAATAATGACTTTAGGGTTGCAGTTGAAAAGGCACCTCAAAAACTGAGATAGTTTTATCTGTTTCATGTATTGATCTTGATTAAACAGCATCCTATTTCATCCATATTTAAGCATGTAGTAGATTTTGAAATGCTGTTACAAAGGCAGTCAACTGGGATATCCTGTCACTGGCTGACTCAGTCTGCAGAAAGATATCTTGTTGCTATTTGTGCTCTTGTTTTCATTTCCTGCACTTCCATTTTCAGAGCAGCGTACTGCAGTGATGTGACAACAGAACTCTATCAGCAACAACCAAAACCCTTAAAAAGTGATCAGTTTTATTTACACAGATGTAGATACTTCACTTTTTAAGGATAGATGCACAATTTATCAAGTCTTACAAAATAATACTCACATTTCTGTATGTGCATTGAAAGTGTTACTGTTCACTGTTATTGTGACTAATACTAGCTGCAAAGAGATCATTTCCTAAAGCATGTGAGAATACATTTAGAAATTCAGCTGAAGCTATATGAGGTTCTGGGCTGGACAATTGTTTTTTACTCCGAGCTAGACAACCAACGACCACTCCTGGGTTTAGCTGTTCTTTAGCTCAAATTAATTCATTAGAATCTACTTTTCAAACATGATATTTTAGGCTGTTCAAGTGTTCTTTTAGATTTAAATTTAAAAACCACTTCCAGCTAAAAACTTTTAATTAATGTGTTTGTATAGCCCCTCCTGTGGGCACTCAAAAGTAGAGGCTGCTAAACCGATGATGAGTGACTGTATATTAAAACACAGTTGCAATTATATAAAATATATCTTTAAATAAGATATTATAATTGCTGACAGATACTGTCCTCTTAGCAGCCTATAACTACATTATAGTGTGTTAAAAGAATGTATTAAATGTTTGTATACTGCTTCCAAGTGGTTAATATTGAGCTCAAAGTAAAGTTGCAATGTTGCATTGATACAGAGCTAATTCAGATGACAGTCTGTCAAGTGTCATGTTGTGAACTTTTGTCTTTGATCTACAGGTCATGAGGTCTTGTCTAAAGTGAAGGGATGCCCAGTAGGATGGATTCAATTCACCTGCAAATATCCAAAACCAAATGTAACATATGAAAGTATTGATTTAGTTAATCCCAAAGAAACCATACGAAGTGCTCTAAAGAATGTGTGGGAAAACAACGGCAGAGTTTTCCTGTACCATGATCCAAAAAAAAAACATCTCAGGGTGGCCATTAATAAAACTGAACATGAGAACTTTGGGAAGTACACCTGTAAATTTAACCAACTACCTGACTCATGTGACACAGTGGAACTGGACTTGGACGTTGGTAAGAGGCACTCACTTTTTATTAAAATGAATGTTACAGATGTTGGTTATAAATTTCCAGACTATTTTGACTCTAATTTCACATTCACTAGAGTCAATTTCTATTTCAAGTCATCATCTACTCAGATAAACAAAATGAAGATCAATCTGCAACAGAGACCAAATTCCAATAAAAGCAGATGTAACATGATTCACACTTTACTGTATGAGTGTGGTGATTTGCATTTCCATCATGTGTTAGCACATTATCACAGTTTCACATTTTACCTTTCTTGTTTATTTGCAGAGACAGACGGCTGCCAGGGACAATTTATTCAAACTGCGTACAGAACAGCTAAAACCACCATCACATGTGATTACACAGGAAACAAATACAAGTTCTTCTGCAAACAGAAAGGTTCAATCTGTGAGGATATTTTATCAACAAAATCCTCTCTGAAGTCAAAGGGGACATTCACTCTCACAGAAACCAAGAGTAGCTTCAGCGTGTCCATCAGTAACGTGTCCTCACATGATGCTGGTGTCTACCGGTGTGGAGTGGAAACACATGAAGGAAGTTACAGAGCTGCTCTCAGAAAGATACAGCTGGAAGTTAAAGGTGAGCAGCACACATTGACACTTTGAGCTTTGATTTTCTCACACAGATAATTAAAGTGTCTCTGAAATATGTTGTTAAATACAGTCACTGATACACAACGATGTCTGTCTGTGTCTCTACAGCTTCTATTACTAACTTCACCACGTTTCCAACTGTTGGACAGAATCTTACATACTGGTGTCAATATCCAAATTATACTCTGATAAACAAATTCATCTGTAAGGGAGAAGATCCATCTATATGTCAACCTCTAGTAAGCACCGCACAGCACAACAAGAACACTGGGAAGTTTTCTATGCAGGAGGAACAAGATAAGAGAAATATCACCATAACAGTGAGAGACGTAACAACAGACGACACTGGGACATACTGGTGTGGAGCAGAAAGCACTGACAAAACACACAGCAACAAATTCTTCCACAAACTGGTGATGACTGTAGGTGAGTCATTTTTATTGTGTGAATGAAATCTGATCCTGGTTCAGATTGTAGGACGGTAACCGATTGTTGGCCAACTTAACATTCTTCCACAGATTGTTGATGACTGTATGTGAGTTGTCAAATGCTGCTTCCTTACACCGATTCCTAACATACAGCGAGGGATCACAGGTTTCTCAATCAGCACCTTTTACCTCTAATTAAATTAACTACATTACAGTTAACAGTAACGTAAAATAGGCACACAAGCTGAAAGCTGACACAACATTGTACTTTAAACCCATGTAAATTATACAAATCCCTCCATCTTTAGATAAATGACATCAGACATCAAATTTCCCCTGTTGGTTTTTCTTAAATACCAAATGTATTCTCTCCTTCTTAGTTATGAATTAAACCTGTTAAATATATTGTTGTTTGCGTGCTTAAAAGCTTAACTTAAATGTAATTGACTGTTTGTTTACAGTGTCACCGGCCGTGTCAACAAATCCCCCTGCAACCTCTTCACCATCTGTAACAAAGCCAGCTACTGTTTCTTATGGTGGTTTTGGTGAGAAAGCATGTTTGTTCATTTAAACCCTAAGGAATAATGCTTGTATACTAGGCTGAGTGTCTTTAATTGGTCATGGTAAAATACTTCTGACTACAAATATTTAATACTTTTTTGTTGCTAATACTATAAGTATTGATGCTGTTGTTCATTTTGTTAATGTTGGATGTAATTTTGATTTCTTGTTTTCTCGTGTAGATCGGACATCTGTGTTGACGATTGCTGTGGCCCTCTCTTTGGATGTGCTGCTGTTGCTGCTTATGCTCACTACATATTTTGTCTACACACGTAAGAGGTTTTCACTGGTTTTAACATCATCAAACTTCTCCAAAAACACATTTGGTGGCTACTTTTTGATCAAAACATTTAGATCACTTTAATGGCAGACATGTAAGTATATTTGTCTGTGGATCAATTAACATCTCAACTGACAAATTTTGGTCGAGATTTTTTATGTAGTTGATCCTTCACAGAATCTGATGGGTCACAAATTTAGCATAGCAATGTAGGACAGAGAAGACAGTAGAACACCAGCGGTGAAAACATATGCCTCCTCACTACTAGAAATGACTGGGGAACACAATTTGGTACAGCTTAAGATTGAATTTAATTAAGTTTTAATTGTTTGTACAAATTTGTTCAAACCTTATTTTTGGCAAACTCACAGCCCTATCATGTGTAGTCGATTTCATGATTCCATCATAGTTTCAGGCAGACAGAGACCAACTGTGCCTGCTTTTAGTCTACTCCAATACAGTTACATTTCTTACACTAATTAGGCCGTTCAAAGACTCCACAACATGATATTTTACTATGCTCCAACTTTTGTTTCTTAAACTAGCACTTCAGGTAAGGTGCTATGGAGGATGATTTAACCAAGAAATAAAAGGGGAAAATTGCAACAAATTTTTTTTATATTATAGCATTAAAGATAATCAGGCCATACATGTTATTAAAAACTGAAAAATGAACTGGAATATTAAAATGACAAATTGATGTTGTTATTTAAATTGACAAGTCCTGAAATAGAAAACTGAAATGCTTAAATCTTAATGCTTAAATTAAAACCTTAAAGGCAAACACTTAAATTGAAATGTTAATTGGAAATAAAACAATTTTAAAGTAAATTTCAGGTTTCACCTGTGCTTTTTAGGATACTCAAAGACACTTTACAATAAAACCAGTACATTAAGCACATAAAAAAATAGTTACATAATATACATCAATGCAGGGAAGAGCATAAAACTAACAGCAGGTGAAATTTAACATTGTTAAGAGGCTGAAGGCTAATCTAAAGAGGTAGGTTTTGATAAGTGATCTGAATGTGTCCAGGTCAGTACAGTGGATCTGTATGGGTAGGAAGTTCCAAAGGGAGGGGAGCTGTGGGGTGTGAAAAGCTCCCAGTCACCCCAGGTACGGTGCTTGGTCCTGAGTGGTGAGGAGAGGAGGTTTATGTTAGAGGAGCAGAGGTTTCGGGAGGGATTGTGGTGGTGGAGCAGGTCTGTGAGGTAGGAAGAGGCCTGGTTATGGAGGGTTTTATGGGTGAGGAGGAGGATTTTAAACTGAATGCGCTGGGAAACAGGGAGCCGGTGGGGATTCTGGAGGATGCAGGTGTGAATGAGAAGGCGGGCAGCAGAGTTTTGGATGTATTGAAGTTTATTTAGGGCTTTGGCAGATGAACCATAAAGGATGCTATTGGAGAAGTCCATTCTGGATGTAATGAATGTAGGGATCAGAGTGTCAGCAGCAGAGAAGTTGAGTGATGGGCGGAGACTTTAATAAGTTTAACATTTCCCGTTTTCATTTAAGTACTTGGGGGAAAAAATCCTCTATAATGTGACAACGTTTTAGGAATACTTAAATGAAGACAATTCTGCACATGTATTACTGCTTATTCACTTTACTACTATAACATTTTGTTCCCTTTCTCTCTTTGTCTGACAGGATTTGCAGGTTTTAAGAATACAAGGACAGAAGCATGAAGAAAATCAAAGAGAAGGAAAAGAAGTGCACTAGTTTACTTATGCTAGATTTCAAAAGAAGCCCTTTGTAATATTCCTGTAATATCCCACATATATTCTGTAATTTAGACCAACTACTAATGTCACCATAACAGTTTAAAATATTAAATTGATATTTCTCTGTCATTAATATTGTTTAACTTATAACTAAATCATTTTATCCACATTTATCATTTAATAGTCTAACGTGAGCGGTGAAACAAGACTGATTTGTTTCTTTTAATACAGTGAATTAACACTACTTTAGGATATGCCTATATGAGTCGTATTTGGAGGTTGGTAAAAACAAACTATGTTGTCCTTTAGGTTGGAGGACTTGACAAAACATTCCCTATAAAGTATTATACTGTTACCACATGAGCTAATGATCAGAAACCCACTGTAGACCACAACGGGAAATGTGTTACTGTATGATATAATGTATATGGGAATGTTTTAAAACTTTAACTATTTATACAATATTGATAATAGCTATTGTTCTTTTAAATTTTTTTTTACATAAAATCCGTTACTCAGACCTGTTTGTATTTTAACTTACAGTGTTGAGCACATTTTGAATGGAGAGTTCTCCAGACTCCCAATTTATGCCACTGCCAACTTTCCCACAAACCCCTCTGCCTCGCTGCATTACTCCAGCATCAACTTCCAAACAGCTCTGACAGAGTTGGTGGTGAGGCAGTGATCCTCAAACCCAGCTCTGCTGCCTGAAAATATTCTACTGTGAAGTAAAATCCAGCCTACTGTAGAGTCAGCCAGCCGTCCAGCTCTTCAGAGGATCCTCTCTACACAACAGTCAACGAGGCTCAGCAGCACCGAGCAACGATCATCTTATCTCATTACCTGATCTAACTTATCACAGATACTGTATATTGTTGACCTGGTCTGAATGAGAGTCCCAGAAATAAAAGAAAATCCTTTCCCTGCAATTCAGTGATATTTTTATGTGAAAACTTGCACACTGAGAACATATTTTGAGAAAATATTTTTGACGACTACATTGACCATTTGAATTCACATTTAATTTCCAGATAAAGTGGCTATTCCTCTTTTTGTTTTGGTCAGTTATTTACTCATTTAGTGACGTTAAACACACCAACTAGACAACTGCACTGGGATCAAATCATTATTTTACATTGCCTTGATGGCTGAAATGGTGCAGTGGATAAGATACATGCCTTTGGTGTGAGAGACCTGGGTTCAATCCCCCTCTGTGACCCCTCCACTGATGTGTCCCTAAGCAAGACACTTAACTCCTAGTTGTTCCAGAGGCGTGCAACCTCTGACATAAAAAGCTTTGGATAAAAGCGACTTAATTTAAAGAAACTGTCTTAAAACTGGTAGTTTGAGTTATTATATATATATTTCATAGTTTTATGTACAAGAAAACAATCATTAAAATGTTGCTTATTATTTACAACACCAGTGTAACAGCCTCCTCATTTAATCTTATTAATTTCACTGTATGCAGGATTTATTTTTTTTACTTTAGTGTCATCTAGTGGTAAAATTAAGACTGACATTGTGTCCCAGTTTGCTCCTCAGTCTCTGATTCGCCCTCTGTATTGGTGTTGCTCTTTGTCCCTTTCTCTAACTCCCTAGCGCTGCCATCCTCAAGCTCACTGTGTGAAAGTGAATTTAATAATGTCAGTTATAATGTAATAATGTCAATATATTTAGAAATACAGTGGTGAAATTACAGTGTTCTGAAGTTGAGCATTTCAGTCATGTTGATTGTTTATTGTTGTTGTTGGAGCTATATTCTTATTTTTGTTTATTTTGGGCTTAAGTTAATTTATAGCCTAATTTATTTCTTTTCTTGTTAAAGTTAATTTGGTTTATTTTGTATTTATGCTTTACTTGTATTGTCGTTTGTTGGTCACATGGTGTTATGTTCATTTGCATAAGTAGGTCAAGGTGGGAGGTGCTGCAGGCACGAGGGCATATGGTTTTTTTTATCAGCAGTGAGAGAGGCAGCAGAAATGTCTGTGAGCTTGCTTATGTGTGTGAATAAACCTCCTCAAACGCAATCTTGTTATGGACATCACTTTGCTTTGGTACCTCTGAACCTGCGTAAAGCCTAACCATGACGTAGCCTCAAGTGGCCATTTGAGAAGTTTGTTATTATTTGTTTTTGTTTAAGTTTATGGACAAATAGCCACTACATTAAGTAAAAAATATATCGTTGGTTTGCGTGGATACTGGACTTGGTTTACCGTTTCGAAAGTGGATTACTCACCTGGATGTGGGAGACAAACAAAGGAAAAAGGGCCTAGGAGTGACGGAGCCAGGGGGCTGGATGCAGTGCAAACATCGAATAATACGACCCACCCGACAGTGTAAAATTTCCCTGGACACCGTATTGGATAACGGTGAAGCTACTGGAGCGCTGGAGCTGCACTACGGAGTGGAGGATATTATTTGCTGCAATTTGAATTCGCAAAGGCCCAAAGCCTTCACAGGTGATGCGCACAGCCGCGCGCAACAACAGCTACTGCCTGCATTCAATTCCGTGCACGAAGGCAACCACCCAAACAAAGTTCCACAAGGTATGTGCTTTATTCAATCTTTGCAAGCAACTGTGTGTGTACATGACCGACATCAACAAAGGGTAAAATGTCTGACGTTGCATCTAAAGCCACGAGCGACACGGCGCTTCCTACAAGAAGACGCACAAGTTTTACTGCTAAAGGAATGATGTTTTTTATGCAAACGTGTCAGGAAAAGAGATCGGTGCAATGCAGACGAGCCAAATCGTACATGAATCAGATGGATAAGTTGATGCATTCTGCAGACAATATTGATGCAGTCAAGTCTCTTTTGGATCAATAATAATATGTGTTGATGAGGCAAAACAACATCATTTGTCATTTGTGTCACTGGACATACCTCAGGAGGAGAAGGAGAAACAAGATAAATATTTTGAACAAAAGGAAAAGTGTTTTTCAAGCTTTATTGATGGCGTCAAATATTGGTTATCAAACACAGGCCATTCATATGAACTTCCAATTAAACCACCTGATAATCCAACTGATATTGGGCCTGAGGACAGTGTATCCAATAAAGGTTCTGAAACGCGTTCAAAGGCTGGTTCTAAACTGTCAAAGACTTCATCCAGTGCATCTGCAAAAATATTAGTGCAAGCGGGAAGAGCAGCGTTACAGGAACAAATACGGCTTGAACAAGAGGACTTACGGAAGAAACGGGAACATTTAAGGAGAGAAAAGGAACAACTTGCTCTGGAGGCAGAATTAAAGGTGACAAATGCAAAATTGGAGGTTGTGGAAGTAAGCTCAAAGTGTGGCTCTAAAGTGTCAAGATGTGCATCTCAAACATCAGATGGCATGAATTCTTACTTGAAAAGGTCAGAAACTCAAAGGACATATGAACTAAATCCGAATGCTGAACGCTATGTGCCCACCAATAAAAGCTCTGAACCTACCTCCAGTCGCTTGTTAAATTCTGTCCCTGTTGGTGTTCAACCCAAACATGTTGTAAAACAACTACCCATACCTAATGTCATTCCTGTGTTTCAAAGGCAAGGTACACAATCACTGGGTTTGCAAGATGTTTGTGACGATAATCCATCCATCAATTCTCCGGACATTTTGAACATCATGCAGCGTCAAAATGAAATAACTGCGCTGTTGGTCCAACAAAACACAGCCTCTGCTCTGCCTATGAGAAATATACCTGTATTTGATGGAGATCCCCTGTATTTCAAATCTTTTCTCAGAGCCTTTGAGGATAAAACTCAAAATTTCAGTGATTGTCTGTACTTCCTAGAACAGTACACTAGAGGGAAACCAAGAGACATTGTGAGAAGTTGTCAGCATATGCCCTCTGAACCAGGTTATCAAAGAGCAAAAACGCTTTTGATTGAACATTTTGGCAGTGAACATAAAATATCTTCGGCTTACATGGACAAAATCAACAATTGGCCCTCAATAAAACCTGAGGATGTTAATGCTTTGCAGTCATTTGCTTTGTTCCTTCGAGGTTGCTCCAATATAGTACATCATATAAAGTATATGAAGGAGTTGGACATGCCAGCTAACCTCAGGACGATCCTAATGAAACTCCCATATAAGCTGAGGGAAAAGTGGAGAAATGTGGCATGTGACATATTGGAACAAACTGGAAGCAGAGCAGTGTTTGTTGATTTTGTGAATTTCATTGAAAAACAAGTCAAAATTGTTTCAGATCCTCTGTTGGAAATATTAATAATGTTTCTCCAGCCAGCTATACAAAGCTTCCATGCAAGTTAAGCAGAAAAGGAAAAGTGGTACATTTGCCACCAGCATTAATGCACCAAAGGATGGACATAAAGAAATGGAAAACTTGACAGCTCACAGTAAGCAGCTCAAATGTATATTCTGCTATCTTACCAATCACACTCTGGAAAAATGCTTTCAGTTTAGAAGAAAGACACAACAGGACAAGATTCAGTTTCTAAAGGAGAAGGGCGTTTGTTTTGGGTGCTTGAAACATGGACACACAAGCAAAGACTGCAGGAGTCGTTTGGATTGTGAAGTGTGTCACAGGAAGCACCCATCTGTCCTGCATGTGGAGAAGGAGGATACTACAAGGATAACCTCCAAAGAAACTGTGAGCACTGTATCCGGGAAGCAGCAGACGTGTGGTCATATTGGGGCTGGTGAAGAGGATACTGCTGTTTTTTCCATTGTGGCTGTGCAGGTGAAAAGTCAGAAAAGTAATAAAGTTGTGCACACTTATGCTTTCCTGGATCCTGGGAGCTCTGGTACCTTCTGTACTACAAGTATGGCTGAAAGGCTGGGAGTATCAGGAAAAAACTGTAATGTAGTGTTAAGGACAATGGGGCAGACTAAAACCATCAACACTACTATAGTAACCGGTCTGGAGGTGTCTGGATTTGACACCGATGACTTTATTGAGCTACCGTCTGTTCTGACACAAACAAAAATGCCTGTATCTAAAGTCAATGTGCCATGTCAGGATGATGTTGCCAAATGGGCGTATTTGAGCAGCATCAGGCTACATGAAGTAGATGCAGATGTAGACTTTCTCATTGGAACCGACTCTCCTAAAGTTTTGGAGCCACGGGAACTGATAAACAGTCAATGTGGTGGACCGTATGCAGTAAGGACCAGAGTTGGCTGGGTCATAAATGGGCCTCTTCGTGCTGGAGACTCTGAAGGTACTGGTGTCAAATCAGGATGCATTGTTGTAACTGCTAATCGCATATCTGTGGAACACTTGGAAAGTATGTTGATACAACAGTATAATCATGATTTACTGAAAGAACAAGTGATGAACAACTTGAGATGTCAAGAGAAGACATTAAATTCATGAAAATTGTGGAGAGTACGACAGTGCTTAACAATGAACATTATCACATTGACTTACCTTTCAGAGTTGATGATCCTGTTTTGCCAAATAATCGCTGCATTGCACTACAAAGACTCCAAGGCCTGAAGAGGAGATTTAATAGAGATATTTCATTCAAGGCTCAATACGTTGATTTCCTTAACAAAATGTTTGAGCAAGGATATGCAGAAAAGGTTCCCACAAATGAGCCCACTCTGGAACAAGGAAAGGTGTGGTACATTCCCCACCATGGTGTACGTCATCCAACCAAAGGAAAGTTGCGTGTTGTGTTTGATTGCGGCTGTACTTACAAAGGTATATCATTGAACAGTCAGCTCCTGCAGGGCCCAGACTTCACTAACACTAATTGGTGTCCTCCTTCGGTTTAGAGAAGAGCCCATCGCTGTTATGGCTGATATCAACGCCATGTTCCATCAGGTCCGGGTTCCATATAAGCACGTTAACTTCTTGCGCTTTCTATGGTGGCCCAATGGAGACGCTACAGCGGAGCCAGAGGAATACAGGATGTGCGTGCATTTGTTTGGAGCTGTATCCTCTCCAAGCTGCTCAAACTATGCACTGAGGAGAACTGCTGAGGATAATGCACTACAATATTCACCCGATGTCCTTCGTACAGTTTTCTACGTGGATGATTGTCTTAAGTCCACTGTGACAGAGGAAGATGCAGTGAAGCTCATACATGGATTAACATCTCTCTGTAAAAAGGGCGGCTTTCATCTCCAAAAGTGGGTCACAAATAACTCAAATGTGTTTGCACTTATTCCTAGCGAAATCAGAGCAGTGGGTTTGGAGAACATGGATTTGGACAGGGACCAACTCCCTGTGGAAAGAGTGTGTTCAAGGTGATACGTTCATCTTCAGGACTGCAGTGCAGGAACGTCCACACACTAGGAGGGGCATCCTTTCTGTGGTGAGCTCTCTTTACGACCCGCTGGGTTTTCTGTCTCCTTTCATAATACCTGCCAAGTTAC